TTACAACATTATTGATTGTATTCCTCGGACTGTCTTTTTCTATCCCTGAGGCCATATTAAATTCAGCTTTTTAACAATAGCTAGTCACTTATGCCAGAAATTCCACTTTAAGTATATTTATTCTCTTGTGTTAGTATTATTCTCCCGAGGGTTTATGTTCTACAGTATATTTTCAGTGTACTTAGAATGCCTACTCTTCAGTGTGCTATTAATAAGATCTCCAAGGTGCTTCTCTTTCTCTTTGAAAGTGAGACCCCAGTCCCTGAGTGCTAGGGACACCTAGGAATCCTGGGGCAGTGGGGCAGGGGTTGAAGATAAGAGGCATGTTGAAGGCAGAAGTTTATAGGATACAGAAGGTAGAAGGGCACAAAATGCACCTCATCAATTTAACCTGTCTCTTGAAAGTGCACTTGCATTTTAACTTTTTTTTTTAAGTGTGAACTTAAGTGTATTATTATATTTTGCTTTTTAATATCCTACATTAAATGAGAGGAAGTTAGGCTTCTTTTAAGAAGGCTCTTGTGTTGTTTTAAAGTTTTAAGGACCTGCTGGTGTTTAGTTCTAGGTACCCGTTCCTACCGAGGACCAGACATTTCTTGCCTAATTATAAAGCTGGACTGTAACACTGTGGTGGTGGGGGTGGGTGAGTGGGAGCAGTACACAGATTACAGTAATAAGTGTCCCGGAAGGAAAAGACGCCACAGTGAAACCAAATGTCACAGGAGAAATCCTTTTAGTATTGTGCTGAGTGGTTCATTCTCTAAATTCACCCCATCTACCACCCACCCCATGAAAATAACGTGACCTTCATGTTACAGGACCACTGCTTTATTTGTCGCATATTCCTTGTCCTTTAATTTGTCAATGAAGGCATACGCTAGCGATACGATTTTTGATTGACATGTTTAAAAAGCTGTGTTACGGAAAGTTTTACCCCCCCACCCCAACACACACATTCAGTGGCCATGAAAAAAAACGAAAAAAGAGAAAGTGAATCTAATGAGGTGGCAACGCTAATGCCTGGCAGTGGGTTCAATGAGACAGTTAAAAAAGGCATCCCTAAGAAAAATGTTTTGTTTATAGATTTGTTTCTGATTCCTCTGCGCGGCTCCAGTCCAGGTCTTGGAGCCCGCCCTCGAGGGGAATGTCCGGGACTCGGGTCGGTACCTTTTTCGCCTGGGAATTTCCAGTGCGCAGAAAAAAAAATCCACGACTCTAGCCCTCTCTGCCCCTTCCCTCCGCCCCTCCTCTGTGCCCACGCAACCCCTTTCGGACGAGAGTTTGATCGTATTCTGCATTTTA